TGAGTTCGGTTTGCAATCTTCCTTTCCAGCTTGAAGATACGTTCAGGCACTGTTCTCTCTTCCTCCCTCCCTCTCCCACCCTCTTTTCTCTCTTTTCTCCTTCCTTCCCTACCTCCCTCTTCTCTCTTTTTTCTCTCTTCCTCCCTCCATTTTCTCTCTCTCCCTCCCCCCCCTCAACGATCCTTCTAGTCACCTTTTTATGAACACATTAATCACAGTTGCTCCTTTCGCCACCTGTATCTTTTTTTTTTAAAGCCCCAGCTTTTGAGGCTTATAATTATCCAGGAATAAATGATCCGGAAGACAGACACTTCTTTAGTTTAATCGTTTGCTACAATAGCAAACCAACCAAACAACCGAACAACCGCGACTCGCCAAACGCAAGCCTAGCTTTCCTTGCACGCTGCCTCTCTCGTGCACGTCTGTCAGCCTTTAAAGTTGGCTTCCAATGATTGGTCTGTGGTTTCCCTTTAGCCTTTGCTACCATCGATTGGCAAGATTTAGCGGACTGCACCTCAGCCTTTCAGCGGGAAGCTTCTACAGACGCCACTCTCCATCAGGTAAATCGATAATCCTCCTCGCCCACCGGGCGATTTTAGACAGGTGTGACTTGAATCACGCATTTAAACCGGCTACTTTAGGTACATTAGAGTGAGGATACTGCATTGGGACGGAAGTGATCCGGATGCCTTGCAAAAAGCCAAACACTCAGGCGCTTGAGATTCATTCCCACTAGGGAAAGTGACCTCACATCAACCTGCACAGATTTATTTGGAAACCCGGATCTTATCCTTAGGAACACTCCAGGTGGCAACAGGTAGCTGATTTTTGCTGTTTCCAAAACTTAGTGGTGTTTGATCTGGTTGGTGATGGGATCCATCTAGATTAGAATCTAGATAATATTTGGATGGGAGATCATTAGAAGACTCCAGAGCCATGGGTGATCTTTGGAAGTTGAGAAACATACCAGAGAAAGTCTATGGAGATTCTCAGTCATCCAGGTCATGGTTGTCCCAAAGGTGCTTTTTCAAGAGGCAGCTGGGACTTTCTGGTTTTTCTTTGAAGATCTTTCACTTCTCATCCAAGAAGCAGCCGAGGTGGTGCAGTGGTTAGGGTGCAGTACTGCAGGCCACTTCAGCTGACTGTTATCTGCAGTTCAGCGGTTCTAATCTCACCGGCTCA